GCTGCCTTGAATATCATAGTATTTGAAAGTATAATCTCACAGTAAACAAAAGACACCAATAAAATGTCCACAGCACTGTGTTGTAGGTTAAATACTTTTTATCCAAATCTTTAATGGGTTGAAAGAACACTGCTGGGGGGAAAAAATCCAATACTTCTAACACAATATTTTAAAACTACTTGGTATAAAGAAGTATGGAGAAAAAGATTATTTTTTTTTTAAAAAAAGAAAAGTTTACATGGGTTCAGAGATTTCATCCTTGAGCAAATACCCCTGGTTGACTTCCAATCCTACACTAAGAGGTGCTGTGCCTTCACCCTAAAGACCATGGTGGCATGAAACAGCGTGACTTAGCAACCTGAGCAGAATTTGCTCAGTATCCATTCTGTTGCTGTAGAATTGTACACGGTTTTATGAGCCTGTGATACCAGGATATCAGCATCACAGGACAGATAAAAATCTTCCTAAAAAAGACAAAATAAATTCTTACCCATAGCACTGCCAAGAGCAGAAATCAAATTCAAGTTCCTTTAGAACATACAGCAATCTGCAGGCGTTCTCCCTAATGAAGCAATCTGATGGGGAGCTTCTGAAGGCAGGCAGTTATAACTCCTCTCAGCACACCCCACGGCTCATCACAGACTGCACTAAACACGAGGTGCCTGGCCAGCAGGATAGCATTGACATGTGTTCAAATAAGGGGATCGAGATAAATACATACATACATACATATGTATGTGTGTGTATATATACACACATATATATGTACATTTATATATTCTCATCTGTGCCACTGATTAAAAGTGACAGCATTTCAAAGCTCTGGTATTCTTATAGTTTTCAAGGTTTGGGTGAGAGGATACTTTTTAAGACAAACAGCATTTGGAACCATACGACCTTCTCCACTGTACAAGTCTTAACAAACAGATACCGAGTTACTCAAGCTATGAATCTCACGTGATACGACGCTCTTGGATTGGTTTTCCACCATCTGGGGTATATGGTTAAGGAAGATATAGCCCTGAAAAA